TTATGTTAAAGAAGGTTAAGGACCATGGCAGATTCGATTTCGATGGGAGGCGGGAAGGGGGGGTTGTTTGTTATTGTTGTTGTCGTTGTCGTTGTTGTTGTTGTTGTTATTATTGTTGTTGTTATTGTTGTTGTTGCTGTTGTTGTTGTTGTTCTCGATGATGATGATGATGATGGTATTGTTGTTGAAGTATGCTTCGGGTTTCAAAATAAAGAGAAAAGATTCGACACCAACTTGGATTTGAACTCTGAACTGTTCATGTCAATATCATATGTTACTTCGAGGAGAAAAAAATAAAAATGAAAATAGTTATTATACCTAAAAAGATACCAGCACTTGAATATATATATATATATATATATATATATATATATATATATATATATAAAAGTAGATTCAATTTTACCTTTTTTCTAATGTGTATCTTTCAAAAACGTGGGATAATTGGATGCTTCCTTCACTGGAAAACAAACTTAGGAAAAGAATACATGTATGATGTTGTAAAAACAAAAACTATTGCAAGGTCCATGTGTCTAAGTCTAAAGGGTAGACTTACTGGTTTGAACCGGCGTTCGCCAGACAATGCGTAATCACCCCCACCTGAACAACCTCGTTTGCCGTGTTTGGTCTACTCTTTGTCTGAAGAACTGGGGGAAAGGGAGTGGGTGGGTGGGGTGGGAGTAAGTGGCTGGTTGTTGTTTGTCGCCAAACCCCCCCCCCCCCGATAAAAATCATAAGAGATTTAGCTGTATGCCCATGCCAGTTGTAATGGCCTTTTGTCACTCTCATATTAGAGCCATGTGCACACGTCCACAGTATCTTGTACATGATGCATTTATTTGCTTATTTACAGAGGTTGGAAAAGTCCTACAAAGAAAAGAGAAAGAAATGAAGACAATTTTCATTCTCAGAGACTGCGTTGACCCAGTCCGTGTGCACAAGAGAGGAAGGATAAGGTCACATCTGAGAGCCTCAGCCACTTCACGACAGGTGCTGGAGGCTGGCACAGAGGGGACCAGGGAAACCCAGACCACGTGACTGTCAATCAGGCATCAGCCTCCTTGTTGAGGGTGGCATTAGCCCCTGATCAACATCCAGCACAACGAAAGACGCGAGGGTCAATATTTTCTCTTGTTCTAAACGTGTTCTCCGCAGACACTGTGAGGGTCATTACAATCGTTACATCCAAAGGCTTTGGACACCCTGAGAGTATCCGATCGGTGGAAGCTCGCTGTTATTGATGTCTTTGCGTAGACGCCGCCACATACCAGGGAATTAGTTCTTGCTATGCCGTTTGTGTGGCAAAGAGATAGAACTACGCATTAGTCAATATCGATAAAAGAGGACTTTCGGTTTTGACGTTGAATGTTGAGAACCCGAAAGTACCGAGTGCTTTATTTGATACAATACCATCGATACTGCTCACGAAAAGTGCCCTCAGTGATTTTCTTTATTCATAAAGCAACGTTCCAGAAGCAGTTCGTGTTCAAAACAAACGCTGTAGATGGCACAGACCAGCAATATCGAGGTTATCAATATGCTGTTTATGTATGAAGAGCACACGGGAAAAACGGGTATAGTCACAAACTGGAAATTGTGAGGGTATCAATGTTAACAGCTTGTGGACTCATAACTTCATATTTGTTTGATTGGTGGTTTATTGTTATGTTTGTTGAATGGGATTGGGAAATCAAACGATAATCAGGGGCTCTCGTGGCCTAGAGGTTAAGGTATTGGCCTCTCTTTCAAAGGTCCCGGGTTCGAATCCGGGTAGCGACCGAACATTTTTCTTCTCTAAAATATTCTCCTTTCACCCCCTTTCCTGCTCTCTAGAAATGTTCTATAATCTGCTTTCGTCTCCTCTTTCTGCCCCCACCCCTTCACCTCCTTTGCCCTCTCCTCTGGATTCCTGACTCTCTCTGCAGCCTTTCTACTGCTACTCCTCGGCCCCTTCTTACTGCTGTCTTTCCACCACACCCCTGATCTTCTGGTAGGAAAGATCTACACCTAGCCTTCTCAGACAAGGGCAAAAAATTTCGGACGGCCCGTGTGCAACTTGCGTACGTTAAAGATCCCCTGGTGGTCTAAAATCGATAAGAGTAGGCTTCAGCCGCCACCCGGGAAATATTCAAAATTTCCTAATATCTGAAAAAAGTTCAATGTGTCCTGCGCGCTCGTATGACCTTAAGCAGTAGCGAGCGCTGTAAAACACTTATCCCCCCCCCCAAAAAAAAAAAGAAAAGAAAAAAAAAGTCAATCAACCAACAGTTGAACAGAAATACAGTTATGAGTTAAAAAGCGTTCAAAATTGATACCCTCACGATTTTCAGTTCGTGACTCTGCCCGTTTCCCCCCTGTGCTCTTCGTATGGTAAAATCCAACAGATTGCTACATAGTGAAATGAATTTTACCTGTTCAACTGGTCCAAAAAGGATACCATTGTATGTGAACTGGTCCAAAAGAGAAGCACCCAATTTAACATGTTAGTAAGGCGAAAAGTGCTTGAAAAAATGGAAATCGTACTAGATCTACCTTTCTGACAAAACCGTTAATTAATTCTTTTTTTTTAAAAAGGGGCGGGTTTTTTTTGTTTATGTCAAAATATTTTTAATTTGCTTCAAATCTGTTTCAATTGTGGAGAAAATGTTATTATTGGTGTCGACGGTGAGTCATCTCTCCTCTTTGGTACCAAAGTTGGATTGTTATTAGTGGAAAATATTACATTAATATGGTCTCAGATTCATTAATTACGCGCATACACAACTCTTTAGTAGACATTCTCATTGCTCGCGTACTAAGAACGTTTGAAAGTACCCTTTGCTGATGCTACCTAATTATATAAGCAGCTTAGAGTCGTCGTTGGATTAAGCTGAATATAGGCAACACTGTCAAAATGCGAGGGATAAAATGAGAAAAAAGGGGTGGGGGTGGCGTGCAAAATCTCTAAAAGCTTGAATATAAATACTATTACGTAGATCTACATCTGCTACTGACTGTGTCTAGAATTCTACATTTTGAATGTACAGTTCATTAAAATTCATATAATCAGAGCTCAAAGTTATGACAATGCATGCATCGCACTGCATACGTTAGGCATTTCAACTGCAAAATAGACCTCCTGTATCATTAGCTCACCAGCAGTTCTAAAGTCACACTGGCACTCTAATACCGAATTAGAAACCTTTACCACAATCTGTTTACTGCAATAACGTGCTTCATCAACATGCTGCTTTCAGCATTACCGTTTCCAGTATCAAAGCCAAAAAAATAAAAATCTTTCAAATAATAACGTAAGCTGCGTTTGTATGAAAATGCTAATCAGTTTAAATAGTCAGCAAACAGCTGTGACAGCCCTGATTCATGGCGCTCTCCCGGCCCACGAGTTTCTCCTCTGCATTTCTAAGACTTCTCTTAAACATCACGCTGAGATTTCATCACGTTAGTTATTTCGTTCCATTTCTCACTTTCAGCTCCGGAGACTGTAAACTTTTTATTGTGACAATAAAAATACGCGCGAGCGATAATACAACTCTTGTCTTGCCTGATTGGTCTGTTATGGTCTTTGCGTGTTATGACGTCACACAAAAGCACCCGGCTAACGAAGCTAGGGGAGACAACCATTACCGACAATAAAAGCGGACGCAAGAAAACCTGTCACCAGTTACCTGCCGTGCTATTAAAGTTCTAGCGCTGCGGGGAGCCACCTCTTTCAAGCTCAGCATCGTTGGTCAAGGGGGTGAAACTTGTGTGGACTCAATAGCCCAAGCAAAGCTGGGGCTTCCTAAGAAAATTAAATGGAAAATTGTTGTGGCTTTTTGCCCTGAGGCTGCAAACATTCCAACACAGTAGGTTTGCAGTTGAGTCACCAAAAATACTTTTGTTACTGGAATTTTAATATGTATCGTAATATGGTTGAAATAGTTTTTCAAACTATATTTCATTGCCATCTTCATCATCTTTGACGTCAACAACGACAACAATAGCAGTTACAAATATTTAAAGAAGGAAATCTGAAATTTCGGCTGGAGGAACATCACTGTATTGATCAAGAACACACAGCAATAATCTTTCTCGGACAAGGGCGAAAGATCTCGGAAGGCCCGTGTGCAAGTTGTGCACGTTAAAGATCCCCTGGTGGTCTAAAATCGATAAAAGTTGGCTTCGGCGGGGAAATATTCAAAATTTCCTAACTACTGAAAAAGTTCAATGTGTCCCGCGCTCGTATGACCTTAAGCAGTAGCGAGCGCTGTAAAACACTTACAAAAACAAACAAAACAAAGGTCCCGGGTTCGAATCCTGGGTAGCGACCGAAACATTTCTTCTCTAAAATATTCTCCTTTCACCCCCTTTCCTGCTCTCTAGAAATGTTCTATAATCTGCTTTCGTCTCCTCTTTCTGCCCCCACCCCTTCACCTCCTTTGCCCTCTCCTCTGGATTCCTGACTCTCTCTGCAGCCTTTCTACTGCTAATCCTTGGCTCCTTCTTACTGCTGTCTTTCCACCACACCCCTGATCTTCTGGTAGGAAAGATCTACACCTAGCCTTCTCAGACAAGGGCGAAAAATCTCGGAGATCCTGTGTGCGAAATTGCGCACATTAAAGGTCCCTTGGTGGTCTAAAATCGATAAGAGTAGGCTTCAGCCGCCACCCGGGAAATATTCAAAATTTCCTACCAACTGAAAATAGTTAACGTGTCCAACGCGCTCAAATGACCGTATGCAGTTGCAAGGGCTGTTAAACACTTGCCCAAAAACAAAAGATAAAGAAAACAATGAGAACATCAGCACAACGAAAGACAGATAGATAGATAGATAGATAGATAGATATATAAATAGATAGATAGATAGATAGATAGATGGATAGACAGACAGACAGACAGACACACAGACAGACA